GCCGCCCTCTTGTCATCTGCCTCGACCCGCTCCCATCAGGCCGCCGTCTACCAGCGCCTCCTCGCCTCACACGCGCTCCTCCCTCCGCCCGCCGGCGCGTTGCCGCCGCAGCAGCACGAGGCGCTGCTGCGGCAGCGAGCGAGCCATGTGAAGGTCGAGCTCGAGGACGTGTCGAGGACGTGTCGTGGACGTGTGCCGGGGGAGGAGGCGGCCGAGCCCATGGCGGCGGGCTGCGGGGGGGCCGATTTTGCGGGGGGGGCGCCGCCGCGCGCACTCGCGTGTGGCTACTGCAGCCTCGCGCCGCTCGGCAGCCTGCTCGAGGGTCGCGGCTGGGCGGTTGAGATGGCGAGCGGCGAGCATGAGACATGGGGAGATGTGGGGAGATATGGGGAGATGGCGAGCGGCGAGCATGAGCCCCCCCCCCCGATGTGCGTCGGATGAAGGAAGGCGTGATCAGCCGGCCATCCCTTGGTCAGGCGAGCGACGAGTACGAGCGCTTCGCCGTCGGCTCGCTGCTCGCCCTTCGCCAGTACTGCTCCTCGCCCGCTGCCGCCGCCGCGATTGAGCGCGAGGTGGAGGCTGCCGCTGCGAGGGCGGCAGAGGAGGCGGGGGAGGAGGCAGAGGAGGTGGGGGAGGAGGCAGCGGCGGCGGAGGCGGCGGCGGAGGAGGCGGAGGAGGTGGGGGAGACAGGCGAGGAGGCGGGTGAGAAGGCGGCGAGGGAGGAGGCGAGGGAGGCAGGGGAGGAGGGACTTGCGGCTGCGGCGCGGTCGTCTCGCCTCTTCGAGCGCGAGCAGGGTGCGATGCGCGGCGGGCAGTACGACGTGGTCGTGTGGGACCTGGAGCGTGAGCTTCTGTGGCCCGTCGCCACTTGCAGCGGCGGCGGCGGCGGCGGCGGTAGCGACGGCGGCGATGGCGGCGGCACGCTGCTGCTACCGGTCGATCTGCAGCACGCGCTGCCTCGCTGCCGTTGCCCTCTGGTAGCGGCGTGGGCTGAGCTGTGGAGAGTCAGCCACGGCACCCCCCGCAGAGAGGAGCTCACGGACGCGCGGCTGCTGAGCGGCGTCGAGGTGGCGGCGCAGATCCGCTGGCTGCGCAGCGCCCTCCCGGCGGAGACGTCGCTGCTGTTGCTCGACGTGCCACCTGTTTGGGAGGACGGGTCGCCCACCCACTCTCCGGGCTGGCAGCGCACACTCGCCGCCTTCCCCGCGTCGCTGCGGCGCGGCCTCGAGCAACGCGTCGCTTGCGCCTCCGTTGAGGTTGGGCGTGTGGCGGAGGAGCTGCCCAACACGGCCCTCGTGCGGCGCGCGGCGGCGCTGCGGGAAGGCGACTTGCTCGAGTGGGTGCACACCACCCGCAGGGCGGCCGCCGAGACGGCGGCGGCGGTGGTGCACGCCTATGCCGATGCTCGCGCGTGCTCGCGCTGCTCAGGCGAGAGAGACGCTGCTGGCTG